GAGATAATACAGTCGGAAGTGGTGTACAGCTTTTCAATGTTGTGTTAGGAATTGAAAATAGTGAAATATTGACAATATTTGCACAGAAAAAGCTTCCATTTCAACAAAATTGAGACATTTTCCTAATTAATTTTGCTTAAAAATCAATTTTATCGCTTTTTTGAGGTTATGTTTAATGTAAAAACAGATTAAATTATCAAATTTCTCTGTTTCTTAACAGATTTCAGCATTTTTGTGCGAAAAAACTTCATATTGATGGAAAAAAAGCCTAAAAGTCAAACATAACCTCAAAAATATCACTAAAATTGAAGAAAAATGTCTCTTTGCCTTGATTTCTTTCGCGGCTTTTTGCTGTAAAAGAATATTTGCACTGGAAAAGCTTCAAATTCAACAAATTGAAGCATTTTTTTCAATTATTTTTATTAGAAAAATCAATTTGATCGCTTTATTTTTGAGGTTATGTGATAAAATAACCCTCAAAATCATTTAATTTGTGTTTAAACTGAGAATTTTCCTCTTTTCTTGACAGTATTGATCATTTGCGTTCGAAAAAACTCAAGATTAGGTTAGAAAACAGGTTAAAAGTCAAACATAACCTCAAAAATATCTAAGAAAACTCTTTTTGCTTAGTTATTTCTGCTGTTTGTGATTGTAAAGTTGCATATTCAACTTTATTATCTAGTGAAAATATTGTGATATCCACTATATTCACTCTTTTCCAAATTTTAAGTGGATTAAAATAAGTCTAAGAAGGATTTTTAAGTCGAATTTGTAACCTCACAATTTGATTAGAAGTCAAAACAGGCAGAAGAAAGACAGAAATTGTTCATGAACAAATCCTAAAACATTCAGATCACTTTTTACAATTATAAACCTTAAGTATTTGATGAGTTTAAACCTCTTGAGATGGATAAACCCGGATTAGCTTTGTGATAAGTCAGAAATCAATAAAAGAACAATTGAAGGAGTCGAAAAAGCAATGGAAAATGCCTTCAAAGGTTTATGAGAAGTGTCTAAAGTGTTAAAGATTGAAGTGTTGTGAACATTGAAGGCATAATATCTCCCCCTTGATCAATTCTTTATTTTCTGTCATTTTAAATTGTATTTTTGCCAACGCACAGAGATTTTTATCTATCCCATGAAATGATTCAATAAACAATTTTCACTCTGTTTATTGTGCAGAATTTTAGGGGGTGAAAATGATAGAATTGTACATAATCCAATAGTTTCCACACACACATTTTCAGTTCAAATGAAATTTCCGCTTCAAATTATTTTTGAAAAATATCATTTAGAGAGAAACATTATTCAATTTCCGACCTAAATAAATTGCGAACATAAATTCAATTTCAAGCAGATTTTTGCTAAAAAAAAACACTCGCATGAATACCAAAATCAGGTGAAATTGATTTTCTGCTCATCAGCTGAAAAGAAAATTGAGCTGTCCATTTTGCCAGTGCGAGTTTAATTTTTTTGAGTCCAATTGGAAAAAGAACAAGGGGGAGATATTACAGTCCAGAAGTGCTTAAGAAGTGGAAGTGCTTGAAAAACCTACAATATTTCCTTCCTGAGTGCTTCTTTTACTGACAAATCATCCCGATTCTAAAGATTTTCTTTGAATTTCTACGCAGAAACAATAATTTTCTAGGTTATGTAACAAAATAAAGACTTATTTAGTGAATAATTCTTATTCTTAAGTCACCAAAATTGCTAGTAATTGGCAGAATAAGGCATTTTCATGCGAAAAATATTGATATTCTGCACGTTTGATGCCAAGAAACACTGAAAATTGTATTAAATACAATCATAACCTCAAAAAAAAACCATCTTAGACTTGAAAAATGTTCATTTAGAAAAAGATTTTGGCTCAATTTCTATTCTTAATCGACAATTTTGAATACTAGAATACTAGAATACTTTGAAATGGAATTTTTGAACATCTTTTAGTAATATTTTTGAGGTTATGGTGGGAAAAGACACCCAAAAATGCAATTTGAAATGAATTTTTACACAAATATCGGATGGAAACTTGATATAAAAGTAATTTTCGCCCTGAATTGGACTCATTTGATGCCAAGAAATGCCTCAAATTGTGTTTTATCAAACATAACCTCAAAAATTATGATCGTTTTGGACAAATTTGACATAAATTCGCATAAATTCTGCCAGTTTTTAGCAGAATTAAGCAGTTACAAGCATTTAACTGTGATTTCTTGATCTTTTGATGCCACGAAACATAGAAAATTGTGCTAAGATTCAACATAACCTCAAAAATTGTAATTTTCACTTGGAAAATGTCAATTTTTGACGAATTTCTAGACATTTTTGACTGTGAATCAGCAATTTAAGGATCATTGGCAAATCATAAGAGATTCGAACGGAGTTTTTGAAGATCTTTTGGTGACATTTTGAGGTTATGATCGAAAAAACACCCAAAAAAGCAATTTGAAATGAATTTTTACACAAATATCGGATGGAAACTTGATATAAAAGTAATTTTCGCCTTGAATTGGACTCTTTTGATGCCAAGAAAAGCCTCAAATTGTACTAAGATCAAACATAACCTCCAAAAATTGTCATTTAAAAGGGCTTTTCAGACATTTTTGCCTCTTAATCAGCAATTATTAGTTCATTGGCTATTTTTAACAGATGATTTTGTGATTTAGAAAGTCTTCAAGTGGTGTTTTTGAATCACTTTTAGTGATATTTTGAGGTTATAGTTGGAAAAATACCCAAAAAAAAAGTCATTCAAAGTTAGATTCTTCAAGAAATATCCGATGAAAACCTTAAGAAATTCACGAGGATTGCTGAAGTTGGCGAAAAGTGACTTCCATTCCAATCCATTCCATCTATTCCATCCATTCCTAAGAATATTCTTTCGAATAATTACAAAATACTCCCAAATTGAACTTCAATTTATCACAATCATCTCAGAAAGACTTTTGCTCACAAAATTCCAACGTAAATGTTCATTAGAAGAGAATTTAGCATAAGATCTTGAAGTGTCGCGGGTTCGATTCTCCTTCAGTTCTGATTTTTTCATTATTTTTTTTTTCATTTCTGTTTCATTTTTCGAGGATTTTCCTTCACTTTATAGTGTTTTATCAACACTTTTCGCTCAATTTCTTCACGAATTATCTGTAATAATGAGAGAGAATTTTTTTCTCGCTCTTTTTAACAGCTTTTATGTCAATTCTCGGTGTTGAAACTTGTCAAAAAAACCTCTTTTTGACGCCCAAAATGTAATTTTCCACTAAAAGTCGTTTGGAAAGCTGCTAAAATCGCATTTTTACGTCCTTTTCCTTCGCACATTTGCCCGTCATGAGTTCAAATCCAACTCGTGGCAAGTTTTTTTTCACTTATTTTCCTATTTTTTGTCTTTTTTACACCACAATTTAACCCAATTTTGGCTAATTTTGGGGAGTTTTTAAATGGCTTTCAATAAATAATTCGCCATCCATAAAATAAACCCCGGAAAATGTTATTTGTGAAGGAAAAGAATTAAAAAAAAAAGAATCTGAATACTTTAAATTCTCATTCTTTAATCCACAAATTAACAATCCATTCCATGGAATTTTCTACGTAAATTTCCATCAATTCCTGGATATTCTTTGGAAAATGGTTAAATTCATTCCTCACTTGAGCAACCTTTGGAAATTCATTATAATTTGGGAATTATTGTGGAAACAGCCTAAAAATTTCTATTTCTTGAAGTGTTGTACAGATTTAAGGGCATATTATCTCCCCCTTGGGAGGAAAAAAGCATCAATAAATTCAGTCTGCAGAATTGATTTTCAGTCCCTTTTTTGGAGCGAACTGGGAATAAATATGAAAGCTTGTGTGTGTGTGAAAATCGGCAGAAAAATCTCTAATTGCCACTAAAAAACAACCCCATTTTGGCTCAATATCACCGTTAAAATCCACTCAATATTTTCCCCCCGATAAAAGCCCCATTTTCCAATGAAACCCATTCGCTTGGGACACATTTAAATTGTGCTCCAATTTTAATATTATACGCTCTCTGCCATGAATATTAATTATAGTGATGTTTCAGTGGCGCTTTTTTTCCGGGGGTTTTTCTCCATTGAAAGGGCTTTCATGCATGGCTATTTGGGCGAAGTGTAATTGGTCTGTATCAATTACATACGTTGCCAGAGAGAGAGAGAGAGAGTTTGGTATATAAAATTTATTTCAATCACGCATTTTTAGTGCTTGTAATTCGAAACTTTGTGATTATTCCATCTTTTTCTTCGATTATTTCGTGATTTTTACTCAAATTTTGATTATTTTCTCAATATTTCTTAATTATTTCCTGATTATTTCATTAAAAATTTATTATTTTATACAAATTTTGATTTTTTGTACATTTTTTTTTTTATTAATTTCTAAATAATTCTTTAAAAAATTTAATTATTTTATACAAATTTTGATTATTTCGTTCAAGATTCTGATTTAATCAAAAAAAATGATTGATTTCCAAATAAAAAATTACGAAATAATCAAATTTTGAATAAAATAATAATAAAAAATAAATATTTTCCCAAGAAAAATTGCAAAATAATCAAATTTTGAATGAAATGATCAAAAATTTGATTATTTTCCAAAATAATATTGCAAAATAATCAAATCAACAAAAATATATCAAAAAAATTTTATTTTCCGAAGTAAATTTGAAAAAAAGAACCAATTTTGAATAAAATAATAATAAAAAATCAATATTTTCCCAAGAAAAATTGCAAAATAATCAAATTTTGAATAAAAAAATAATAATAAAATAAATATTTTCCCAAGAAAAATTGCAAAATAATCAAATTTTGAATAAAAAATTAAATATTTTCCAAAGTAAAATAGCAAAATAATTAAAATTCTAAATGAAATACAAAGAAAAAGAGAAAATTTCTCAAAAGAAAATCAATGAATTCAGAATATTCCCGAATATTCACAATTATTCAATTCCATATTGAAATATTTGATAGAAGAATAGGAGAAAAAATACTCACTGTCAAGTTGTTGTCGGCAAAGTTGAGCCACGCGAGGGCTTGCAGGCCTGTGAAGGCGTCCACATCCACATCCCTGATCACATTCCCGTCCAGCTCCAGGGCGTCGAGCAGCCTGAGGCCGAGGAAGCTCTCATTGCGGACGGATTCGATGAAGTTTCCGGTGAGATCGAGGCGTCTCAGCTGATGACAGTAGACGAGATTGCTGGTCGGCACCTCGAGGATCTGATTGTTCTCCAGCAGGAGCAGCTGAAGTGCGCCCAGGGAGCGAAAGGATGTGTCCTCGAGGCTGATGATGCGATTGTTGGTGAGATCGAGCTCCGTGAGAGCAATGAGATCCACCAGAGCACCACTGTGGATGCCCTCGATGAAGTTGCTGCTCATGTTGAGCGACAGCAGACGCTTCAATCCTCTGAAAGCATCCTTGCCCAGTGTCGTGATGAGATTCCGACTCAAGTCCAGACGCTGCAAATTGCTCTGATACTCAAAATTCTTCGCACCCAGCGTGTCAATGCGATTCTGGGAGAGATCCAGTGTCTCCAGGTGTGTGTAGAAGGGCAGCGTGTAGTGGACATTTGTGATGAGATTCATGGCGAGATTGATGAATTTCACGTCGGGATTCAGCTGAATTGGCACAACTTCGAGGCCCGCCTCGGCGCACGACACACGCAAGTTCTTGTCACCGTCGCAGGTGCACTTTGAAGGACAAAATGTCCATCCTGACGTCAGACAGAGGACAAAACTGAGACTCAGCAGAAGCACTTTCGCCATGACTCTTGTGATGTGTCACTTCACTTGGCTGGATGATCAACAGCTGATGAGCAGAATTTTCTGCATTTCTGCAAGAGAACAACAACAGCAAAGCATGAGCTTCAACAAGGGTGTGTGTTGATGATGAGGGGGTGGAATTTTATTAGAGCGCAAAATTGTCACAGTCAAGTTGGGGATTTTGTGTTTAGGTTTGGCATTAGAGAGAAATTGTCTGCTTAATCCTTTTTCGCCCCCTTTTTTTACCCCCTCAATAAAGCACAAAACATACGCTTGACCTGACATTAACGTCCATGCTCATGAGGAGGATTTGTGGATGAGAGAAAGAAAGGGATGAGGAGGAAAAAAGTGTGCTTGCCAAGGGGGAGATATTACAGTCCAGAAGTGCTTGAAAAACCTACAAAATTCCTTTCCTGCGCGCTTCTTTTACTGAAAAATCATCCAGATTCTTTGAATTTCCTTCGATTTTCACGCAAAAACAAACGTAATAATCTATTTTTCTAGGTTATGTAGACGAATTAAGAGCGGATTTTGTGAATAATTAACATTCTAGAACGATAAATTTATGCAATAATCGCCACAATGCTAGATTTTGTGGCATTTCATGGACATAATATGTAACATTATGGAACCCTTGAATGCTAAACAATATGCAAACGCAATTAGAAACATTTTCCTGTCGTTCATCAATAAGAAATTACAGATTTTCTGAACATTATAATAAGAAATTGACCAAAAATCACACTTTCTTAATAGCAAATTACAGCAAAATGTTGTAATTTTCATGGTTACATGATTGTTCTTGAACAACCAACTTGGCTTCTTATTCTAAACACTTCATAGACAACCTGTGAACAGGATTTGAGCCGCGATTGTGCGTAAGAAAGGAAGAAATTGTACAAAAAAAGCGTTAAAAAGGAAGCTAAAAACATACAAAAAGCAAGTTAACAAGTCCAAATCAAGGCGCATTTATTATGTAAATATTGTAAATATCTTTAAGATACTCCAAATTCATGATTTTATGTGATTATCCGAGGCAGTTTTATGATTATAACAAGGATTTAGAGCAAAATAAGCAGTGTCCTAACGTAATTTTCGCTGTTCTTTTTCGCACATCTTTCTGCATTTTGCAATAATACGGCTTCTAATTGAGATATCGCTATGATTTCAACGCCATTTGAAAGCTCATTAAATTCTAATTATTTTTTGTCTTAAGGAAAATGTCTCTAAAATTGAAGGAAATGTCGGATTTTTAGCATCAAAAGGAAAAATGACCTAATTTTTATTATAAGTGTCCTAAGCTAATTTTCGCTACTGTAAATTCTTATGCTTTGGTCGAAGAGAGAACATTTTGGGCAATTTTGACTAAGAATTAGTGATTTTTAAAACCATAACCTCAAATTTTGAAGATTTCTTAGTGATATTTTAGAGGTTATGGTAGAAAAAGACGCTGAAAAAAGCGGTTTTAAATGAATTCTTAGACAAATATGGAATGGAAACTAAATACAACACAATCTTCCTCTTGAATTGAACTCATTTCATGCCGAGAAAAGCCTCAAATTGTGTTTTATCAAACATAACCTCAAAAATTATGATCGTTTTGGACAATTTTGACATAAATTTGCATAAATTCTGCTATTTCTTGGCAGAATTAAGCATTTGCGAGCAATTAACAGTGTTTTCTTGATCTTTTGATGTCAAGAAACATAGAAAATTGTGCTAAGATTCGACATAACCTCAAAAATAGTCATTTCTACTTGGGAAATGTTCATTTAAACAACCTTCTGGACAATTTTGACACTGAATCAGCAATTTTGGCAAAATTATTGGCAAATTTTGAAGATTTCTTAGTGATATTTTGAGGTTATGATCGAAAAAACACCCAAAAAATTGATTTTAAGTGAATTCCTACACAAATATCCGATGGAAACTTAATACAACATAATCTTCCTTTTGAATTGGACTCATTTGATGCCAAGAAATGCCTCAAATTATGCTAAGATTGTACATAACCTCAAAAGTTATCATCGTTTTGGACAAATTTGACATTATTTCACAGAAATTCTGTCAGTTTTTAGCAGAATTAAGCAGTTACAAGCATTTGACAGTGATTTTTTGATCTTTTGATGTCAAGAAACACTGCAAATTCTGCTAGGATTCAACATAACCTCAAAAATTGTCATTTTCACTTGGAAAATGTCAATTTTTGACGACTTTCTGGACAATTTTGACTGTGAATCAGCAATTTAAGGATCATTGGCAAATCATAAAAGATTCGAACGGAGTTTTTGAAGATCTTTTGGTGACATTTTGAGGTTATGATGAGAAAAGATGTCCAAAAACAGTGATTTTAAGTCGATTTCATGGAAATATCAAATGAAACCTCAAGAGATTCATTATAATTTGGGAATCAATGTAGAAAAAGACTAAAAACTTCATATTCTAGAAGTGTTGTACACATTTAAGGCGTAATATCTCCCCCTTGGTGCTTGGTAAAAGCTCAACTTTTGCACTTCTTTTTCTGCACTCTCTCTCACTGGATGTTTTTCATGGAGAGCTTCCAAAAAGTGCGATGAAAAATTCACCAACATTTCATTCCCAAATTCCCAGTTCTTTGAACTTCAGCGCTCTCAAGGATGCACAGGAAAATATCAGGATTGCTCCATTTTATTACACCGCAAGAAGTCTGTATAATATTTGGACCGATTTTGATCATTTTTCATGCAAATGTAAGATGATAAAATTCAAATTAAAACAATTTTTAAGAGATTGAAATAAGAAAGTGAGGTTAGGAGAAGAATTTTTCGTTCTATTTCGTCACTGTATGATTTGTTGTGTAATTTTTTAATATTCCTCTTAATTTTAAAATATTTTTTTGAATATCTCAATCAATATTTAAATATTTCAATGTTTCTGATACTTTTTGTTGTATTTTTTATGTTGATTTCTTCTTTTTCAATGAAAATTAAAACATGTAATGAAAAATTGTCTTTATTTTATTCAAAATTTTTTTAAAAATATTTTTCATAAAATTTATAATAATCAAATATTTTATTTTCCATAATGAAAATCACCAAAACTTGATTTTTTTAGGTTATGTATGACTTTAGCGTGGTTTTATACAATTTTTACTTGATTTATCAACAAAATTGTGTCTTTTTTTCTCAAGTCATTTAAGAGTCGTTGAAACTTTACAGGTTTTGTATTTCAGTTCGTAAAAGCTATGAATTTGAGTTGTAATTTTTCGCTTTCAATACGAATTTCTGCTGTCAAAACGCAATTTTTTCACTAATATTGATTGCTTTTTTCCGTGGGAATAATTTAATGTTCTGAAAATAAAATCAAAATTTAATTTTACAACACTTTTAGGATGTCCGGAAACACATAACCTCAATTTGGTTCAATAAATCTGTGCTAATCAACGTTAAAACATCATTATTAACATCATATTTTCGTGTGATTTTCGTGTGATTTTCCCCTTGACTGAATTGTTTAACAATTGATTGTTTCAGTTGTGAAAAACACATTTATTTGTGTTTTGTTCCCAGTTTTCACTGATTTTAGGCCACAAATTCAGTATTATTGATCGATTGCCTAATAATTTGGACATTTTCAGTCAATTTCTACCCTTATTAAATTGAAATTCTCTGCCTAAAGTTGATGAATCCATATTTTACGCCTGCGAGTATGTAAATGTGATAAAATTTCAACTCGCGTGGGGACAATTTGGAGGTTATGTTTCCCAATTTTTAATTTTTAGTGCAAAGAAGACTGAAATTCTTCCCTGTCGACAATAAAATACGACAAAACACAGTGAAAAGCGTGCAGAACGCGAAATCTCTACATAAAGTCTGCTAATTGAGTCATTTTTGTTAAGAATTTGTCCAATTTCTGAAGAAAAATCACAATAAACGACATTGTAAACCGATGTCGATAAAATAGGGTAATTTTTCATGGCACACTTGATTGGTTTCACCAAATTCTCCCATACAAGCTCTGAATCATTTGACGCAGTGTTGTGCCTTTACATGGTAAAAAATACCTCTTTACATTTTACATGTAAAGAATGTGTAAAAAATGTAAAATGTCAAGTAAAATGTAAAAATTCTTTTCTGAAGTTTAAAAAAAAACTACTGAAATTCCCGTGGAATTCCCGTGGAATTCCCGTGGAATTCCCGTGGAATTCCCGTGGAATTGCAGAAAATACTTTTTGTCACATACGCGAGAAGACACAAAATTGTAAACAACAGTGAAAACTCAGGAAAATCTGCAAATTGTTGGCATAAATTGAGTAAGGTAAGTTAATAATTCAACAACTGGATGTTCCAATACATTTCTTTGATGGAATATCGAAGTTTTACTCTTATTTTACAAGAAAATTTGCTAATTGAACGTATTTTTTTGTTGTATTCTTTTCGAGGTGCTTCTGCTGCCGATTAACCATCGAGGAAAATACCAAGCAAGGAAGAAGAATGTCCATTCAGCAATTGGGACAGATCTGTAGAAATGTCGGATCGCATTTTAGAAACTTCATTCTTTGGATCTTGGGCAAGAGAAGACGATTTTCACGCCGATTGCTTAATTTCGTTGTTTTCACTGATTCACTGAATCACTGATTTTTAAAAATATAATTTCTCCACTGTCTTATATGTTATGAATTGTAATCTTGCAACGCATATTTTACGCATTCATAGAATTATCTTATTTAAAATGTGATGAAAATTAAGTTGTAACGACCTCTTAAGGATTTAAGGACGTCGTTGAAGAGTTCTTGCATTAATTACACGCAATCGCGGGTGTATTTAAACATCGCTGAGCATTGAATAAACTCTGGCAAAGTGCATTTAGTGGATTTCTCTTTTTTCTTCCTTCGGCGTCATCAGCATCATTTACTGGGGCACGAAGCGTGTCTCTCAGCATGTCCAGGGATTTCAGCTCAACGAGCCACGAACCACAGAAAGTCGACTGTATCTGCTGCCAAGTTGCCCATTTGCGTCAACCCA